ACTGAACAATTCCTGACTGCTGAGCTTTATTGGGCATCCTGCTTGATGACAGCCAGGCAGCCCAGGCCCTTTTAACATAACAAATCACACGTTCACCCAGCCCAGAGTCACGGTTGCTGCAGTTCCGGTCAACACGCCAACAGCCCTTTATTCTCATGAGCCTGCGCTCGAGTGCAGTCCCAATCAACAGCCCACCCATCAGCCTGCCGACACCTGAGCCGACCCAGCCGACATCCCAATCCGCCGCGTGTCGACAGTCGGATCGGTGTAGCCGTCAGCCCGCTGGCGTTTCGACATTCAGCACGGTCCAGCCGACAGACTGATGCTGCCTGCCGTCGCCGCCGGGCGCCGACCCAATCCATTTGAGATCTCTCTCAATGGACCGACGGCCGGGCGCACATTCGCCAGCCACTTGGGGTCCGTCCATCGCCCGCCGCGTAATGGATCGCTGTTTTGAAAGCACCCGAGTACCTATCCGTTATCCAGCGGCGATCGGTCGACTTGGGTAACGCTGTTAAATCGAGCCTCCGAATCGCTCGGCAAAATTACTACCCGTTCGGCCGCCAAACCCGCCGTTAAACCAGCTCCACGTGGAGCACAGGAAAACATGTACCTGCTGAATTATTCAGCGGGAGTGTCTACGCGAGCTGTTTCAGGGATTCACCGGAATTGCGTTTGACGTGGGACAAAACTGCTCAGAAACATTGCACCCGGTGTGAGTAAGACCATGCGAGGCAACGCGTGCAAGTGATGTCGCCGAGCTTGTTGCAAAATCGGTCGCATGAATGATTTGCAGGAGTGACGGGATCAGAGACTCTGCTTACATGGCTTGTTATGTGAACACTGACCATGCCAGCCGTGTGAACCAAACTGTGTGGGTAATCTTGCCCACACGGTTCTTGGTAACCTATTTTCACATCCTCTTAGGCGTGTAGTTACATATTTTTTACCGTGCTATGCAGGGACGTTACACGGTTGCCCGTGCTAAAGGTTCACCTGCTCGCCGGGGAAATGCAACGCCTGGGGTGGGAATCGAACCCGCGTGGTGCCGCACCCCAAAGACAGTGCTCAAGTTGTTTTCTGTCAAGGCCGATGCTCAAACAGCATGTTAACAAGATGGCAGCATAGCGTGCCATCTCAAACAGTGGAAATTGCTGCGTAAAAGGCAGTGACACTCGACAATATCCATTTTCAAGGCCTCTTCCGCAGCCTTGCGACCAGTCGCACCAGTCCGCACCAGTCTCCCTGTCGTACCACGACCAGCCACAGCCGTCCGTCGCGGAGCCTCTCCAGTCGTACCACGACCAGTCACAGCCGTCCATCACGGGGCCTCTCCTGTAGTGCCACGACCAGTCACAGCCGTCTATTACGGGGCCTCTCCTGTAGTGCCACGACCAGTCACAGCCGTCCGTCGCGGAGCCTCTCCTGTAGTGCCACGACCAGTCACAGCCGTCCGTCGCGGAGCCTCTCCTGTAGTGCCACGACCAGTCACAGCCGTCCGTCGCGGAGCCTCTCCTGTAGTGCCACGACCAGTCACAACCGTCCGTCGCGGGACCTCTCCGTAGTGCCACGACCAGTCACAACCGTCCGTCGCGGGACCTCTCCTGTAGTGCCACGACCAGTCACAACCGTCCGTCGCGGGACCTCTCCTGTAGTGCCACGACCAGTCACAACCGTCCTTCCCTGTAAGCACCCGTTGCGTGACCAATCTGGTTGCAGTGCACTGTCCGGCTGACCGCCTGTAGGGATACACCAGCCTGACAAACGATGAGAAGATGATGCTGGGAGGACATTAGTCCGCGGCGGCCCGTAACGATCCAGGGGATCAGATCCACGGCTCTGTCGGGGATCTGGCAGTGGCACTGGCGACGCCGGTGAAAACAGGCGTTTACGTTGGAGCGTGCTGAACCGGTCCCAGGCACCAGGGGGGCTGTTGCGTGAATAACAACAGCACCCTGACATCGGCCCTGGTCGCTTCATGCTTATAGCCTGGGGCTCCGATAATTACTTGGGGCTACAGGGCATAGCCACCTGCTGGATGATTGATAGCAGGTGGTGTGGGGGCTGCTTTGTACCTCGAGGCTAAGTTATTGCATTGTTCGTACCCATCCACCAGAGTTGTCAGCCTGATGATAAACGAGGTGCCATAGGGAGACATAGTCCCATATGTGATGGCGCCAAAGTGAGTGCGATAACGACATGTCCGCTGGTCATCACGGCTGATCGGCCATTGCCTACCGCTCATGGTGCAGCACGCTGCGCCTCATAACGGTGATGCTTAGCTCACTGCGCCGTATGTTGGTCTTCTGTCTCAAGTTAGACGATGGCTGAGGAATATCAGATGACCTGCAAATCTATACTTTATTTTTAGCTGTTGTGATCCGTCTAATTAATGAGTTGCGATACAAAGGAAGCTAAGGAACGAGTTATAATACGAAGTTTATTTTCCGTCCGTGGCATTCCAATCACGCTACGCGGCACGCTGCTGTTCCGGCTGATCCCCAGCTGGTCATTCACACAGAACACGCGCTATGCGTGTGCGTGCGAGCCGGCACCGACACGTGCGCGGGACGGGCTGCACTTGTCAGGCACGAGAGGTGCGGGAGAGGGAGGGGGGAGCTGACGGGCTGGGGAGCCGAGATCGGCCGGCCGATACCCGGGCCGACGCCGGATTATGCTCCCCTCACGACGCGCCAGCTGTTCCCTGCACGACACCCCCTCCACCTGCCATCACGCGCCTGGGGCGGGAGACGGGGAGGGGGGGCACAGGCACAGGCACAGGCACGGGGGGGTGGCGAGCTGCAGTGGTTACAGCTGGGGCTAGCTCGTTACGTTCGGGCACGCTGCAGTTAAATGCGATTCCGCTTCGATCTGCCTCACTTCGCCAGCCGTGGGAAGCGTCAGTCATGTTTGGGCGTCGGTTGCCATGGAAACCACCGGCTGGGCCGCTCGTTCCTAACTGTTGTTGGCGTGGTAAAAGAGAGTGTCCGCACCATAGAAAGGTTATGGCGGTGCAAATTCCGTCTGGCTGCCCGGAACACGTGCCACGACGCCGATATATGTGGAGATCAGAGGGAGAAACAGTTTAGTGGATGTCCGACGACGCTGGATGGACACTACGGGCACAACTTTTCTAGCGCCAACATCTGACTCGCAAGTACCCGAGGGCAAAAGCCCAGACGGGTATTTGGCGGGCTTTTGCGGGTCAACATATTAACAAGCACAGTCATGCATTTTTTATTCCTCCAGTTTTAAAACCATCCAAACACCTGGGTGCGATGCTTAACACATTGCAATTATGAAAAAGTCTGTTTTCGATTTCCAGCAAGAGTACCAGTGGCAGAAATTACACGGCAAACAGGACACACCAGTAGAACAGTTTGCCCGAATTGAACAACTTCAAGCCCATTTCACTGAGCATTAGTTGGTTGGAGACATTTCTATAAACACATCCACACTGCACTTGGCTGTTATTGTGAGTCATTGTGTTATTGTGATAGTGTGCGGGTCACTCAAACTCTCTTGTTCCGTGCATAAACCATACCCCACAATCAACATCAATGATTAATGAAATGAACTGGAAACTGTGTGCCTCGCGTTGCCTTAGCCTTACTTGTCAACACAGCTGGCAGTTACTGATGTATCACATGTACAACATTTGTCGAAGCTGAAAAGTGGTAGTGTTTGGTAGCATAGAGTTTGACCCTTTATGCTTGAAGGATGTACAATTTGCGATCACCCATAAAGGCCTCTTTCATATGATACGTTTTACTCTCACTTCGGTTGTCATTAGTTTTCAGCAGATCGCCTCATTCAACCTTTCCTCGGCTTGCTTTTTCCATCTCTTCCAATATGTGTATCTGCACACAGATATGTGTCACAAACATCTGTTCAAGATATGAGGCCAATGAAAACTTTGGTAAATCTCAATAGTGGTAGTCCGAAAGCTACATGAAATGTCATGACAGGTACCGGACATGACTTAAACAGTTTTCTTCTTGTTGCAGAAATGCTCCTGCGGCATTTAACAATGCATCATGTTTTGCGGTATTGCCAAATGCCAATGTCATGTGAATGGCAAATATGCGTGGACAACATGGTAATGTTATGCTTGCAATAACGCTTTTTATTACATGTGTAATTGTGAGGGTGTTTGGTGGCCTTTTAGTGACATATCACATTTTGGTGACATTGCACCAAAACGGCATTTTACAGGAAACCTATGTTTTCTGTGAGATGTCGTGACGTCGTTTGTCGTTTGACATATGGCGGAAATAGCGGCATTTTGAAAAGATGCTTGATGTTTCTGATGTTCTCCACACCACCGACTATAGTCGCCGTGACGTTGTTGTGTATTTCGTAAGTTTTCGGTTTTCTGAGCAAGTGTAACTTCATTCAGCCGCCCGCGAAAGACGGTCGCATCATCTGCCACTTAAATCATGCGGCGTGCGATAATCTGACGTGGTTTCACCTGGTGACGTCACGTCATACACCTGGTGACGTCACGTCAAAATCTGACGTAGCTTCATCGGCCGTCGCCAGTGCTTTATTAGACGTCTTCCAACGGCGTTCATAGGCGTCATGTCAAAGTCCGTAAAGAGGACGCACCACTCTTCTCTCCGGCGCAACCCTGCGGACCTCACACCGCTAGATTAAGCAAAAATGCGCCTACTACGATGCACTTCCAACGGACGTGTGGTGAAAAAATCAGATGTTAATTATATGAATTTGTGATACTTAGAACTACAGCCCGCCATTCTCATCACCGACCGGCCTCGTCACAGAAACTTGGCTGTAACATTGCGTCGTGGGCCAGTGGGCCCCCTTCCGCTGGCACGTCTCCATATGCTAATGAATTGCCGTCAGTAACGCATAAACCTGCGCTTTTTCAGTAGTTCCACATTCAAGTTTATTTCCAGCGGGGCGAAAACCAGCAACAAGCTTATCGTTGTCTCGTGAGCCCAAAGCAGGGCCAGCTGACTTGTTCCTCTGGCCCACAGGCGCGCAATTTTGACCAACGGTGACGTGCGCTCCTCCACTCCTCTCACCGCCCTGCTGCAACACGACTTTTGGGGCACGCCGCTCAGCCACGGCGGCTCTCACGGCTCGTACCGGCCGCTCACCGTGCTCACCTTCCGGCTGAACCATGCGCTGGCCGGGCTGCGGCCGGCGCTGTACCACACCACCAACGTGGCGCTGCACGCCGTCTGCAGCGGCCTGGTGGAGGTGGCGGCGCGCGGCGCGGCCGGCGGCCGGCGCGGCGCCCTCCTCGCCGGCGCGCTCTTCGCCGTGCACCCGGTGCACGCCGAGGCGGTGGCCGGACTGGTGGGGCGGGCCGACCTGCTGGCGCTGCTCTTCACGCTGTGCTCGCTGCTCAGCTACGCGCGGCAGGCGCGCGCGCGCCGCGCCGGCGCCGGCTGGAGCGCGGCCGAGCGCGGCTGGCTCGCCGTCAGCGTCGGCTCCGCGGCGCTGGCGCTGCTCAGCAAGGAGCAGGGCATCGCAGCGCTGCCGCTCTGCCTCCTGTACGACGTGTTCGTGCACAGCAGGACGAGCATGTCGGCCCTACTCACGCCGCAGCGCCAGGTAAACCCCTCCCCCTGCTCTTTCCCTGGGAGCCAGGCAATGGTGTGGAGTGGCTGGATCGGAGGAGCACCTGCATTAGCATGGAGACTGGTGTGCGCCCCTGACCAGTCGTCATAGGCGTATTATGTTGGAGCTCCACATGGGTCATGTCCAGATCGCAATGTTATCAGTCATGAAGTTCGCCTGATACACCGATATAAAATCCATGGGTTTGTGCAATGTATTAAAGCGAATTATCTTGCGTTTCATGTAGCGTGGTGTCCGCGATGCGTGGTGGCATCTTCTTCTGGCGTGTACTTTACGCTACGTGATGCCCCTTACGTTCCGTGCAAGCCAATCAAATTACTTTGCGCTTAGTAACTCTTTCCCACATGTTCTGGGTGCTATCTCAGATAAGGCTCCCTTTCCAACGTACTTCGACCGCGGAGGTTCCTGCGCGAGGTTGTTGGCGTCGGGCAAAGGTTGCCCTCTGCATGTCTCCTCTCTGACAACGGCGCGCCCTTGGCAGGACAAGCGGCTGCTCCGGCTGCAGCAGAGCTGCGCCCTCGTCTCGCTGGCGTGTGCTGCGCTTCTCTCCGCCCGCCTCAGCGTGCTGGGCGGCCGGCTGCCGTGGTTCTCGGCCGCCGACAACCCGCTGGCGGCGTCGGGTGGCGGCGCGCTGAGCAGCGCCCTCACGCTGATCCACCTGCCGGCGGTGAGCGTCGGCTTGCTGCTGCTGCCGCACCATCTGAGCTTCGACTGGTCCGACAGCGCGCTGCCGCCGCTGCTGGGGCCGGCCGACCCGCGCAACGCCGCCTCGGCTGCGCTCCTCCTCGGCCTGGCCGCGCTCCTGTTCGCGGCGTGCCGCGCGCCCGCCGAGACGGCGACCAACAACAATAACAACGGCAGCAGCAGCAGTAGCAAGCCATCCAGACCTGGCGGGCACAGCGGGCCTGGTCGGCCGGGCCTGCTCTTCGCGCTGTGCTTCTCCTTGCTGACGTTTCTCCCGGCCAGCAACCTGCTCTTCTACGTGGGCTTTCTGGTAGCGGAGCGGGTGCTCTACGCGCCCTCCGTTGGGTTCTGCCTACTGGTGGGGCGCGGTCTGTCGCTGCTGGAGGCGCGCTGGCGCCGGCTGGGCCCGGCGCTTAGCGCGCTTCTGCTGGCGGTGCTGGCCGCCCGCACCCTGCTGAGGAACGAGGACTGGCGGGACGAGCAGGCCCTCTACACAGCCGGCGTGCCGTACTCGCCCGCCAAAGGTGAATCTCATGCCGACCACGGCCACCGGCCGGGGGTACCGGCGCTGTCTCTTACTCGGGGAGCCGGACCGTTGTCGATGAAGAGCTGTCGATCCCCCGCTTGGGTTATGTTCGGGGTTTCCTGGATTTTGCTCAGCTCAACTTTTTATAAGACAGATTTGAGTTAATAGCTCCGCGATGAGTCAAAGCTTAAGATGCCATGGAGGTTTTGGGACATTTCTTGACTTACGTTGTAATAGACGTGACTTTAAGTTGTAAAAATGTTGTAGGCATTTCTTTCTCCCACCTTTTTGGAATATCCCACGCGTTAAGCCACCCAGAGGAAGAAAAGCTCTGGCGCCATTTGTGGGAACATCGTAGTACTGATTTGATTACTTGCGTTAAATGCTGGCAAGCGATGTGTGCTTAAATGACAATAGCTGCATCACACAAACTACTCAATGAACGCGCTGCAACTACAAATACGCTGTATTTGTAGGAGGGAGCATTAGTCTGACCATTGCAAGTGTACCCCGCTGTATTTGTAACAGGGGTATGAAACTGACCATCACAGGTCTACTCCGCTTGACGAGTGGCATCACCATGCACAAGTAATGCCAGCATAGAGCCAAGGGCTACTCCGCGGCCGCGGCTCAAAAGTTTATTGGAGGGATAATGGTTGTTCCCAAGAAGTTTCTTGCCATGTAAAACCTGTAGGCACGACATTTTTCGGGAAGTTTATGGGTCATGCCACTCAGTGCCATTCATTTGTTTGAGTTCCTTTTTTACACTGTGTTAGAGCACTCCCAAAAATCGGCTGAAACACCTCTTACTTATTTATTAGACTTGAGGTCTCACACCAAAATAAGTCGTCTGTCATGCGTTTACTTCCATTCTCGTTCATGCTTTTTGTACTATCCCCTCTCTCTCGCTCACACTCCATTTCCTTCTTCTCACTGCTCGTCCGTTTCTTGTCCCCCTTGCGAGATCCTCCGCCATTCTCGCCTGCGTCGAGTCCCTGCCCCACTGAGATCAGGGCGACGTCTCCCGGATCACTACGCTGATCTCCGCCCCGGTTACAGCTCTGGGAAACCTGGCCACCATAATGGCAGACCGCGGCCGCCTGGAGGAGGCCGAGCGGGCGTACAGAGCAGCACTGGCCGTCAGATACAACATGGCCGACGTTCACTACAACCTGTGAGTGAATACGGCAATGAAAGCCTGGGGCCGGGAGGCGACTGAGCCCGCGGCAGGGTGCGTACATTCGGAGGAGATGCATGAGAGAGGAGAGAGAGAGAGGAGAGAGAGAGGGAGAGAGAGAGAGAGGAGGAGAGAGGGAGAGAGAGAGAGAGGAGAGAGAGAGAGAGAGAGAGAGAGAGAGAGAGAGTGAGAGAGAGAGGAGAGAGAGAGAGAGGAGAGAGAGAGAGAGAGGAGAGGAGAGAGGGAGAGAGAAGAGGAGGGAGAGAAAGACAGAGAGGCAGAGAGACAGAGAGAGAGCCAGAGACAGAGAGAGAGAGAGAGAGTGAGAGAGAGAGGGAGAGAGAGAAAGACAGACAGATAGACAGGTAGACAGACAGACAGACAAACAGACAGACAGACAGACAGACAGACAGACAGACAGAAAGACAGGACGGAGAGAGATGGTGGCAGGGATTGAAAGAGGGACGAGGGCGAGGTAGAAACAAATACACACTGGGAAATCCTGAGCACCAGGCAGCCGCCGATGCCGCGGGATACCGATCGAGCGCCGTTCTGCGACCTGACGTGGGCGTTCGCGCGGCAGCCGAAGGGTAAACACCGGGCCCGGCCACGCTGTAATAGGATTGGGGTGGCGACGAGGGCCACCAGATCCGGCGCGCGAACACGCGCCGGGTCGGGTGCCACCGGGACGGGACGCCTAACCCTAGGCAGCTGTCCGGCGGGTCAGACACTGGGACGGGATGCTGTAGCTTCCGGAAGGCCTGTCCGTTAAGTCGAGCTTGATGTCATCCGGGGCGGTCCCGTGTGCTGGGCTGGGTGGGGTGTTGTCTGGATCATGCTGGTAACTGTTGGAACTGGTGGGGCGTTGTCTGGATCACGCTGGTGGGGCGTTGTCTGAAACACGCTGGTGACTGCTGGAATTGGAGGGGCGTTGTCTGAAACACGCTGCTGGCTGCTGGGTTTGGTGGGGCGTTGTATGGATCACGCTGGTGGCTGCTGGGTTTGGTGGGACGTTGCATGGATCTTGCTGCTGGTTGCTGGAATTGGTGGGGCGTTGTACGGGTCACGCTGGTAGCTGCTGGGTTTGGAAGTGTGTTGTCTGGATCACACCGGGACTGCTGTGTATGATGGGGCGTTGTCTGGATCATGCAGGTGGCTGTCGATGTCGGCTCAGCTGGGCACTGACGCATGTTTTCGTGTATCAAACCCACCTCGGATCGCATCGGCGGGAAATGCGACGGCTTGGGCACTTTGCGCTATAGGCAAAGGGGTCGCTTTAGAAGTGTTGTTATTGGCGCTGATTACGAGAATTCCTGTGAGCCCGCACCGTGCCGGCCACCAGCTGGCCTGTTGATTCCAATGTTATATTTTAATGATGATTACGACAAATAGCGCTCATGAAGACTCCAATTGTTCTATTAACCAAGATGCGAACCCATGCACATTTTTCTGATCTTTTCACTCATCGTGATAGGTACATCGCAACATCGTGGTAGGCACGTAGACATATGTTTCCTTCCATTTCGTCACGGGCTTTCAGTTCTTGGCATTTGCAAAAACGATTGCAGAAATGAAATAAAAAGCGGCCTTGCACAGCACACTGACAAACGGCTTGCCTTCCACTTGGACATGAAGATTACTATTGCCGGAATGCTGTAATAATTTACATGGGTAAGACCGTGAGGACACGCCCTCCAGCCTGGAAACGCCTGTTAAGCTACTGACCATTGCACCGCCTCCGTAGATACTGGGTGCAGGCAAATATAGCAACGTACAACACTTAAGTTTATCAACAGGGGAACCAGTGCTCAGTCCAACGACTATCGGTCACTGCTGAACGGAATTTGTACGTGTGCCTGCCACGACGACGTGATCGGTCGGTATCTACCTGTCCTTGTAACCTGGGTTCGCTTTGGTACCAGTGAGAACGTCTCGACCCGGCCAACCCACGTGAGCTGACCTTGGTCAAGCGGCTGGGACGTTTGGGTGCAGCGGCACGCGGGAGCCTGGGGTCAAAGGCCGCTCGTCTGGCCACGTGGCAATATGGCGGCTCGCAACACGTGGACTAGCTTCATTACGTCTGAAGGTCTGGCAAAGATGGCGTCTGGCATCACTAATAGAGCAGTTAAAGTTTGAGCTTTAGTTACCAGTCGAGCTCCCGTCTGCAGAACGACATCATTCCATCAACTTTCGGGGAACTTTTTGATTAGAATACTCTCAGCTCAGATGACGTGTTTGTTTTCTACCTTGTAGGACTGCCAGGTTTTTGCTCGAGGTTGTTATTGAAGCCAACGTCTGCTTGAGGGTGAGATACAGACAGAATGCCGGTGGTGCCCTGATAACAAGTGAGGCTCTGGAAATAATGGTCTGAGGAAAACTGAATAGAAATGTTATGCAACATTGTGCTGTATGCGGTAAACGCTCTAGGAGTATAAGACACAGCAATCATGTTGTTCCTTCCAGTGGGCTGTTCCTTCTGTGCCCAGCTGGCACAGTCGAAAAAAATGTCGAAAGCCTAGTCTTGCTCCGCACATCTTGACTCGTTGATTTCTCGCGCGTCTGTAAAAATGAGCAAATGAATGGGTTTCAGATTAAATTTGTCGCATGAATCGGCTTTCTGAGCGCCCTTACCATCAAATACGACGCGAATGAAAATTTTTAGGGCACTCACCACCACCACCGGTGTGTATGAGTACTATGGAATAGGAGCGTCTTCGCCTGTCCACCAAATGGTCATGAATGGTCTTCATTGTGCTATGCAACACCATGATGTCATCCGCACAATAAAATTTGCTCTACCTAGTGTGGAAAATGCGATTCTATTTTATTGGGCTAAACGCGCGGCAGTGGTCACTCGCCATCAACAGAATAAGCCGTTTATTGGTCAACCAAGGAAATAGCTAGACACTCAGCAGATCAAGCAGTCAAAATCCATAAATGACGCTGAATGTAAGGCTGCGTGAAAGGTCTGGGAGTAGTTTGTTTTGGCTGGCGGAACGTCCGCTTAGTGACGGTGTGCTGAGTCGCGGGCCTTGTTCAAATCCTGCTTCAGGCAAAAAAATTTACCGGTTCCGTTCCCGCAGCGACCAGCGCGGTAGATCATGACGCTGAAGGGCCCAATATATTGATGCATCATAAAACCTAGTAGATTTTATACCTGCCACATAATATTCGATAGCAGGGCGAGATTTCAGCGCTAGAGGCGATTTCCAGACCGCGCTACCTTCAAGGGTAGGCTGTTCCGCAGTGACCGGCGAACTCGCGGTACAGTGTACGGACCTCCGGTGCTTTCAGCTGTTCGCAGTCCTCGACGCAGGACGGAAACTGCGTGTTTTTCGCTACATCGCGTTATCCGGTAGCATTGTCTGCTCCTTCGCATTTACTTTCTCGCAAACACACGAAAACAAGTGTTGAGAACGTGATAGCCCGTCAAAATTGGACGGGAGGAGAGACCAAGGGATTTTAGTTCGCCTTCGTCTATGCACAGTCATGGGTTAAATTGAAATACATGTTGGAGGGCCGGCTTCCAAGTTTCTTAGGTCCTGTGCTAATGCTGGTTCGGTTTCCAGCAGACACGGCATGCAGCGATGGTGTCTTAACAAACATGGTAGCCTCACGCGAAATGGTTGTAATCTCTATTTGATTCTCATTTACTTTGCAAAATGCTGCTTAAGCCCCTAGCCTCCGGCTCTAATTAAGGATCTGGCAACCACTTTAAAGATCAAGGAGGCGAGGATGACGCAACATTTTACGCCGACGGAATAAGGTCTGGTCGGAACGTAGTCGGTTTGCATTCGTTCTATTACGTGGGACAAGTCCACGCCAACCACCCAGAATTGATTGGCTGCGACGTTATAGCGTAAGGCCACCTGAACAGCTTTATAGATGGTCGTTCTGCGTTCATTATCCATGGCTATTGTCCTCCAGGGAATATGTGGCCTTGGACGATGGGGCCCAGTCGAAGCACTGAACAAACTTCACCAGGCCTGCGCATCCAGCGGTACACGGCATGGAACACGTGCGCTGTGTATCGTCCATGATAACGGATCCTCAAGGGGTGGTGTAACCCGTCGCCTTTAATTGGCCACATCCATTACAGTTCACTTAGCGGCACCATAACCAGCCTGGATGGCCTGACGTCCTCACGGCTTGGTCATCACGTGATACTGGGACTGCTGGGTCTGGCCGCCGGCCGACGCGGGGCCCTGTCCCGACAGCGGTGGGGTGCCGACACTGCACAGAGCCGGGCTCGCCCAGCTCTGCGGCGCCCCTCCCCCTCCGCAGCGTGGCTATTCGATTAGCGTCGGAGGCCGTGCCTGCACCCCCCGCCCCGGGGGATTCATCTCGCCGGTGCACGGCGTTGTTATGTGGGCCGGTGAAATGAGGTAGAAGGGGGACGGTCGGCCCGCCGCCTCGTTTTGTCGGGATTAGGTTAGTGTCGCGCAGACGTTAATGGATGGACGGTCCGACGGAAGCTGTGCTGCATCCCACAGCGTTTCAAACTGAAATCCTGCAAACTGGCGAAATCGGAGTTGCCGTGATGATGGAAACGGATCTAACGTTGTGTTGTGTTTCTTTCAGAGGCAACCTTTTGTATTCTCAAGGAAAATACGCCGAGTCGACACAGTCATACCAGAAGGCTGTTGGATTCCGCCGACAATTTGCTCGTAAGTTGTAACTTGGATGTCGTCTGCCCTTTCGGTTTTAATCACGGGATAACCGCCGTTCTTGTATTTTTCATTGCATAACGGTTATATATTATTGGCTTTTTACGGCTCTGATCTCCCACATTAGGCGATCGGGCACAAAACAATGACTGATGTGTGATGTAATGTCATGCTCTCAGCTATAAATATGTCGCATACGATCAGACTTGTCGCGTAGGCTTTTCCAACAGCTTCTGAGATAGCATAACACATATCACAGTGCAGAAAGAGCGAAGGCAGTATCTTAACACAGGAGAGTTTTTTGCATGGTTTCAAAAATCAACGCAGGTAATGTCGTCGAGGTTATCGTTTTGGCAAATCGTCGCATCACCTGGCGCACTCAAGCATGGAAAGGTTTTATCACTGGACTATTATTGTTGCCGCTAATCTATAACTTACGCTATTTCAGAAGCCTACCTCAATTTGGCACACGCTCATATAAAACTAGGACAATCTGAAGCAGCACGCCGAGTGCTGCTGGCCTGTCGTGATCTGAATGGGTCAAGAATTCGCGACCCGAGATCACATACGTCGGCTCGAGTCAGCTGCTTGGTGGAACTGGGTCGACTATTCGCTGAAAAGGAAAACGACCCACCTCAAGCTTTAACCCAGTATCAGCAGGCCCTGGAGCTAGCTTCGGAGCACTACCATAAAGAGGTACGTTTGTTGATGCACCACTTTGCATCGCCTTTGCCGAGGCCAGTGTAAGGTTGTAGACACCTCATGTGCCTCTGGTCTTATCACAAACCCGTTACAAACAAACCCGAGAAGTCCAGAAAAGCTCGTGACGTTTCCTCACGATTACTTCGCACGAACATAGACCCAGACAGCCTCAGCCACAAGGTGTCACACCCTTTCCTCCGTCCACTTTCAACACCAACGTCACTTTCACCGGGAGCATGAAGCCATCAGCGTAGTCCCCGCGCGCGCAACAGCTGGGCGGGGCGTCCGCTGTCGCCGCCGGACGGCCACATTTGTCTCGCCGCGGCCACGTCCGTTATATGAGTCCGCGGTCGGCCACAAATCGCATTACGTCCCACGGTAACGACGTCAGAGCCAGCCGACAGATGTCAGCGCTCAGTTACAGAGCCAGCAGATGTCAGCGCTCAGTTACAGAGCCAGCAGATGTCAGCGCTCTGTTGCAGAGCTAGCAGATTTCAGCGCTCTGTTACAGAGCCAGCAGATGTCGGCGCTCTGTTACAGAGCCGGCGGGTGGCCACGCTCTGTTACAGGGCCAGCAGATGTCAGCGCTCAATTACAGAGCCAGCAGATGTCAGCGCTCAGTTACTTAGCCAGCAGATGTCAGCGCTTAGTTGCAAAGCCAGCAGATATCGACGCTCTGTTACAGAGCTGGCGGGTGGCCGTGCTCTGTTACAGGGCTGGCAGATGTCGGCGCTCTGTCACAGAGCCAGATGTCGCCGCTCAGTTACAGAGCTGGCGAATGTCGCCGCTCCGGTACAGTGCCGGCAGGTGTCGTCACTCTTTTACAGAACCGGCGGATGACGGCACTCTCGTCGTCGGTCTTTTACAGAGCTGCCGGATGTTGGTGCTCTATTACAGGGTCGACCGATTTCAGCGCTTTTGCCGTCTGTTGTAGGGATGACAGCCTGTTATGGTGCCAGCAGATGCCAGTGGTCTGGTACATGGTAGATAGTTATCGGTATTTGTTGCAGATCAGACAAATGTTGGCTCCCTGTTACGGGGCTTACAGACATCAGCACCCTGTTATAGGGCTTACAGGTTTAACCGATCTTTCACATGGTCGGCATATGTCGATGTTTTGTTGTCGGTCCTCGACATTTTTTGTCGTTTATATCAGGACCGATGGACATTGCTGCCACCTGAAATGTATTCAACCTATTACAAAGCTTTCCTTTCTCATTTTTGCTAGAAAGCACAACAAATTTCATTCGCAGCTTCTCAGCCTCGAAAAATGTTAAAGGGCTGAAATAAGCCGTGGTTCCGCCTCGGCTTCAGCCATAAGGTAATGAACCTAAACAGGTCATGATACAAGTACCTTTGTAGCTTCAGCCCCCCCCCCCCCCTCCATAGGGCCCGAAAAAGGACCTAAGCTTCGCAGAAGCATTGGACTATGAAAATAAAATTTGAGGCATAAATAAATCAGGCAAATCACCAGGGAGATTGAATCGTGGCTTAGGGGCTAACCTTGATATGATGGGCTCAATCAGTTTAAGGGAATCTTTCTCTTTCGCCTGTAATCCTGCCGAAAAGTTTTGGCCTGAGCACCGACCCTAGGGGAGATGAGTGTCAAGCAACCACACTTCCTTTTTGAGCAGTGTGCTTGACCATAGTGCTATGGCTGCAGACAGAGAAAAAATGGATGGTATTTTGGGTGTTTGGGAATTGTTGACGCAGTGAGCCGCTTCCTAGAGTCGTCGTCTTCTGCTCGCTCCAGAAAAAGCTAAATTTCGAAAACGTGTTTTGGTAGACCCAATTCCTTTAATAAAACCACCTCTTTTCGTGTGTCAGTGTGTCAGTACTCTGTCACGGGTCAAGTCGAGCGAACTGAGTCGTCCCAAATCGGTGGGTATCGCAATAGCACTCGATAGAGCTACCCCGCTCGACCGTCTTGGTGAATGGGACCAGCCATCCCCACAGTTATGGTGGTTGCGAATGCTCCGCCACGTCCCACCTGCACACCCAGCCTCGCTCATCACTTCAGTTCAACACACACAAAAGCTCTGGCCACCGAGTCCACAACGCCACGGACTGCCTAGTTCGTCCGTTGCGGGATCGTTGCCAGCACCTCAGCGCCGCCTGAGTGCCTGGGAGGGGAGGGGAGGGGAGGGGAGGGGCGCCGTCTGGCGCCGGCTGTGGCCTGCCCTGAGCGAACTCTGATGTCTGGCGCATGAACGCTGCCGCGTGCCGAGACTGCATATGCAACGGATCGACAGCGGAACGATGCCGGGCCCATTTGCATCGGCGGTGACACCGGAATGCTTTCAGACCATCTATAATCTGATCGGAGAGGCGCAGTACCGGCTCTCCAACTACGACGAGGCCGAGGCGTGGTTCAGAAGGGCGCTCGAGATTCAGCCAGGCATGGTGCACGCGCACATATTCTACGGAAAAATGCTGGCGAAAAACGTGAGATGCATCATGAGTGGTGCTGTGCTTCTGAACAATATCCAATGATCAGACCTCAGAGGTTGTCGCCGTAATCCTGCAGGTGAAGCAAAACCGTGTTCGATGCGCAATATGTGACACACTTCCACATATCTGTCGTGGAATAAGCTTCAATATATGTTTGCAGATTTAAAATGAATACGAAGGAGTGTGGGGTTTCAATGTGTACGCATCGAGTTTTTTCTTTGTCGAAGACGTTCGAAACAAGCTATTGCCGTGGAGTTAGGCAGGCTATCGATTTGCGAGGTCATTTTGCATCAGCATCAGCGCTGAATTCCTCGAATTTTGTCCTCATTTGCTCCATTTAGCTCCTTCTTTTATTACAACGATCACTATGCAATCTTATTTATCCCGGTCTCTTGCACTGCGTATAATTGAATTCCTTGATCTCATGCTCATATGTGCATTTAATGCAATTTACCCACCGGGAGAGATTCAGTGACATAAATTAAAGGCATCCGAATGGCGTGACGAGGCATAATTAGACCTTAACGCGTCGTAAACATGTGCGCGGCAGAAAACCCGTATGGACGAGGCGGAAGGCTGGTTTCATCGGGCTCGCACCACCGCTCCGTTCAACTACGTCGTATATCTCCACTATGGTGAGTACCACAAACTCTGCCGTCACCAGCCGATGGCGTTTGGGCTCTCATAATTCAGTACAAATGACCATATATTGTCCACGACTTAAAATGTCCCGCTGATGAAGACTTAGGTATGACATAACATATGTATATAATATATATATATATATATATATATATATATAACATAACAAAACAAAACATAGTATGCTCAGCAAGTTGGGTACAGGCCGCATGAAATGGTGAGATTGCGTGGTTCACTGCATTACGTGCCAACGACACGAGCTGTGTTTTTACACAATCAGACCAACAGGGGATGTAAAGAACGATACAAGAAAATGTGGTCTATTCAATTTGAACGATGCGTGTCTGCTGTGTACAGATGTTGGAACGTAGTACTGAAATACACTCTGCTCGTGAATTATCATAGATAAAAGCAGCATAACTAACCAGAAATTCAAACTTTTTGCAATGCCAGTCTAACTACGGAAGTAATGCCGGGTATTAATATAAATATTTACATGAATTTGAGCCGAAGGATTTGCTAGTACTATGACTATGGTAGATCTACTTAGTCTAATTCGACTTATGCAGCACTCATGGGTTTCGTATCTAAGATGTTTCTATTCAATTATTACTAAAGTGAGTAGCAGCTACCCAGACCTTAGAGATGGGCATTTTGCTTCCTCGCAGACCAGTTTCGTGGTACCATGACTATTTCGAATGTCTAGTTTGTTGCCCTAGGCAGTCAAGCAGTCGAATGCGCACGGTATGTTTTGTATTGTCATTTTCAGTTGATTGAATTATGCTCAGCCACGTTTGATATACCCTGCACGCAACCAAATTAGGCCAATTAATAAAAGCGAGCTTCGGTGCCCAACCGCAGGTCAGTTTCTGTACGACGCGGGTCGATTGCAAGAGGCGGCCGAAGTGTACCTGCGGGGCGTGGAACTGGCTCCCTCAGAGTACGACCTGACTTTCAACTTGGCCAACGTCTACCGGGAGTTGAGTCAGTACGAACGGGCAGAATTCTACTACCGGCGGGCGACACACATACGACCCGAGGTGAGCGTCTTCTGCCTGCGGGAGACACACATGCGACCCGAGGTGAGCGTCTTCTGCCGGCGAGCGACACACATGCGACCCGAGGTGAGCGTCTTCTGCCTGCGGGCGACGGACATACGACCCGAGGTGAGCGTCTTCTGCCGGCGGGCGACACACATACGACCCGAGGTGAGCGTCTTCTGCCTGCGGGCGACGCACATACGACCCGAGGTGAGCGTCTTCTGCCTGCGGGCGACACACATACGACCCGAGGTGAGCGTCTTCTGCCTGCGGGCGACGGACATACGACCCGAGGTGAGCGTCTTCTGCCTGCGGGCGACACACATACGACCCGAGGTGAGCGTCTTCTGCCTGCGGGCGACACACATACGACCCGAGGTGAGCGTCTTCTGCCGGCGGGCGACACACATACGACCCGAGGTGAGCGTCTTCTGCCTGCGGGCGACACACATACGACCCGAGGTGAGCGTCTTCTGCCTGCGGGCGACACACATGCGACCCGAGGTGAGCGTCTTCTGCCGGCGAGCGACACACATACGACCCGAGGTGGGCGTCTTCTGCCGGCGGGTGACACACATACGACCCGCGGTGAGCGTCTTCTACCGGCGGGCGACACGACCCGAGGTGAGCGGGTGAAGTAGCTACGGCTGGCGCTGCTCATTGGCATAATGTTCCGTTTTGCAATGTGCTGAGGCTGAATGGCTTAAATGAGAGACGTGTTACATGCATGACACGTACATATATGAGGCATTTATAGTGAAAGTATGCTATGCTACACGCGCACGCGTTGTTTTTAAGCACGTCGAGCGACCGATGAGGCAAGCAATAGACAATCTCGTGTTTTCTGCAGGATTCTCACCGCCTTGCTCACAGTTCAGGATGCGTGCAGTGCTCAAAGGACACGTAACATTACCACGTTAGATCCACCGCATCACCAACCGACCTCTCCCACCACCAGGACGTGCACAGCCACCGGAATCTGGGCGCCATCCTGCACCTGAACGGCAAGCTGCAGGAGGCCGAGGCAGCCTATCTGACCGCTCTCGGCCTCAGCCCCGGTGATCACGTGACCGAGGTCAACCTGGCGCGGCTGTACAACATTATGGAGCGGAGGGGCCGCGGGCAGCGCGCCGCCGACGGCAAGTGATAAGGGAGGCGTCTGCGGGCGGCGGGTCGATGGCCGGTGCAGGCGCGCGGCCGCCGAGACGTTCGGGCGACGTTCCGCTTTGCTTTGTGAGGTAGCCATGGTTTTGAGGCAGGACCTCGCGCTCCTGGCTGGGCGATTCTGGCTGATGTGTATCAGGAAGGGCTTCACGTTGATCTGAGAGCTCCGGTGATCTCAGTGGTGCCGAGACGGTCAGACGAATCTCACAAGTATGCTGTTGAATGCGTGCAAAGGCCGATCAGGGGGTGTTGGTGTTGACATGCTACACATGCCTGATGTGATGCGAAGAATGGTGGATACCTATTTTAACAACGTGTTGCTCCGAGTATCTCGTCCCAGTCTACCATGTCTGGCGACGAACTTGTTCATTAATTGTTCATCGTTGACCACGTAATACACAGCAAAAACATGCAGTTTGTTTTTAACCCGGCCATCATTCTGAGACGCGAATTTGATGTGGTCATTGGCAGTCAGCCACATCCCATCCGCATTTAATCACCTTCTATCAGTACCATATAGATGCATGTTGGACAGCCTGGAACATAGCATTATGAAAGCGTATTTAACGCAGTCTGATGCGACGTAAAACCCATCTCAGCCGGATAGTTTTGCTGATCAAACTACTCAGCGAAGCCAGCCGTGGTGCCGACTCAGAGCCGGCACCTGAGTCACGCGCAAGGTCTGAAGAGCGACGCAGAAGTGGATCTCAGCACCAAGGGTTCTCATCGATCAGCGTTAAAGTTTTCTCACTTTTCTTGCGGGTGACAATTTTCGCCACGCACATTTCAGCCGGCGTAGTTGAAATCTCGTCCTTTACAAGGTTATTGGCCCATAGATTCAATTAAGGCGGAATGTTAACGCATGAAATGGTAGCACGACTCATGCGTGGCCTGTTGCAAACATTTTGGATACAGTCCTATTCAAAGCAACTTTTCCATTCAGCAGCTAAAAAAATCATCGATCTGCACTTGATCCGTATGGTGTTATGCCAGACATGAAGTCTGGATTGTTAGCGCTAATTTTCTAAGTGTAAGGATCAGTCAAGTACAAATTTATTAAATAAAGATCACACGGTGAGAATCTTCTTGCATGATTTCCTCTAAATTATGGACGCGTTTCCTTGTACGTCAATCGCATAGTGTCAATGTATCTGTCTTGAACAGAACGCAGCGGTGAGCTTTGTCAAGCAAGCGAACTTTCCCAAGTAGCCGCAGCGCACTTGCTGACCCGTGGCCGTCCCCAGAACTTCTCTGGAACTTCTCTCCCACAGCGTGTCTGCTGCATCACAATTCGTCATCATGCTGGTAGCTAATGCATCGTCTGACGTAGCTGACGCCGCACGGTAATCAAATCAGCGACGCGCAGATCCCATGTATTTGCATGGCCTTCGCAGGCGGCGGCCACCATAAACAACGGCGCATCGGCGTTGCGGCGGCAGGCGCGACCGATGATGGATGTCCTTTTTGCGCCGGGGGCACCATTTGTATTCAGTTTACCATCGACCGCATCGCTCGTTAGTGGCAGATGAGATCGTATATCACGGCTGGGGGGTACTGGAGCAGGGCATGACGAATGGCTCGCACCGGCGCCGTTGACGGAGCGTCCTCAGAGAGCGTCCACTTTGGAGTAGGCACAGACATGGGCAGCGCTCCGCGCGCCGCCCCCAGCGGCCGGGGCGTCGGCTCGACGTTTTGGGGGAGGGGCGCCGCGCTCCTAATCGTGCTATGGTGGTAAAGGTCGAGTGGGTGTTAGCGGTGGTGAGTTTGAGACTTCCTGGTGGAAGTGGTGCTGGGTTTGAGATGTACAGACGCATCAAGTTAGCATCAAATGGCATCATGGGGACATGCCGCATTATGTAACATAGTTGTCATCGTGCAGCAAACTTGACACGAATGAGCCAGGATCGTTAAGGTATATCTAACACACAAATATGTTACACCCTCTTCCACCGCTCTGTGACAGAGAACGGCCTGTATTCATTGATCTCATCGTCCTCCAACCATTTGCGTAGATGCAATTCGATAATCCCCAGTCCCGACCCCAAACCCGGCCACCTGCACGTTCCCACGCCCGCGCCACGTCAGTGGCGGCGGCCAGAGCCTCGCCCCCGTCGACGGCGGTTCGGCATTGCTGGAGCCGCAGCGGTAGGTCCGACACGGCCTGGACATGGGACGGGGAAGGGCCGCGTCACAACGCCGGAGCCGACTCCCTCTCTCTCGCGCTCCCTGACGGCCCACTGCATGGACGCGCCGGCGGCCGGGAAAAGATGACTCGGAAATTGAATCCGCTGATAAAAGCGAGCGCACAAGGGGATTTTAGGACCTCTGGCTCGTGTTACGACTTGATGATTTATTCCCGATGAATTCGTCGCGTGTCGGCCGGGACGCATCCGCGCAGCACACTGCTGCTGATCTCCACGTCATTATAGTGCTCTCTAGTATAAAACAAGGGCACGGATGTGACAAAATATTGTAGCGCAAAAATTACTTGCAACACAAAGCTGACTTCATTGCTGTTATTTTTTTAGCTACTCCAACTTTTAACAGATGTCAACAGCAGGTGCATCAACAGGTTTTGAAACTTAACGCTGTTACATCTTGTATTATCGTTATTAGAATGGGCTTGTGTCGGCATAGCTTTCTTGAGTTGGGCAGCATCCTTTACGGCTCTTATCACTGTCTGTACATATGTTCTACTGGGAATATTACCTTATGTTCTGTTACCAGCAAAAATATCATCGGTAATTAAGGCTCTACAGGTCAAACCGTATAACACCAAAGACCTACCAGAGGTGGTGGACCATTTTCGCAGTCTGCAACGGTCGCGGTTGCGTGGCAACACCATATCACATATCGACGGGAGGGTCTGTCCCAGCCGTCGACAGGAAGAACGCCTTTCCGTGCTATTTATTGCGATGTTTGCCGGTGGGTGTGCCATTAGATTGGGAAAGAATGGCGCGAACTGCCACTGACCGGACTACCCCGCTAGTAAATCGCGGCAAAATCTGCCCGAAAACGCGTACAGCCTGGTGTCACACGGTTGTACATCCTGGCACCACACGGTCGCGCAGCCTAGCAACACACGGTCGTACAGCCTAGCACCACACGACCGTACAGCCTGGCACCACACGGTCATACAACCTGGTGTCACAAGGCCGTACAGTCTGGCACCACACGGCCGTACAGCCAGGCACCACGCGGTCGTGCAGCCTGGCATCACACGGCCGCACAGTCTGGCACCACACGAACGCGCGGCCTGGCATCACACGGCCATACTGTCTGGCATCACACGGCCGTACAGTCTGGCATCACACGGCCGTATAGCCTGGCACCACACGGCCGTACAGCCTGGCACCACACGGCCGCCGTTTTCGAGTGCGCCACTACTCGCCGCCACGACCGACACAACCCACCGGCTGTATGCGACCGAGCCGCGGCTTGTTGTAGCCGGCTGTAGGGCGTGATCACAACCGCGACAGCCTTCAAACCCTATCAAGACTTGCTGCAGCCGGCTATAGGGTGTGGCCACAACCGCAACAGCCTTCAAACCCAGCCACGGCTTGCTGTAGCCGGCTGCAGGGCGTGATCACAACCCCGACAGCCTTCAAACCCTATCAAGGATTGCTGCAGCCGGCTGTAGGGCGTGGTCACAACCGCAGCAGCCTTCAAACCCAGCCACGTGAGTCGGAGAAGCCTCCGCGCGCCAGCGCTGTAGTCATAAAGTCTCCTCTGTCGTCCAGGGTGCGGCCGCAGCTGGTGCCTCCTCCCTAGGGCTGAGCAAGACGTACCCACCGCCGCCGCACGCCGCCTCCCCGCGGCCGTGTCGGGAGCAGCGGCGGCGATCGAACACTGGGCCGACACCCGGCCCGCTGTTCTCCCGAGCAAATACGCACCACAAACAGGCTACACCAGCGGTCTGCGGCGCCACGGTGAGGGGGGAGGGCCTCGGGTATGCCTCGCTCTCTCATATGGTCCCTTGTTTTGACTTAAAGAGACGTTACTCGTCCTGTCACACTCTGGGTTTCTCTCGCTCTTTCAGATAGGCATACATCTTTGTGATGTTCCAACACCATCAATTCTTGATGGCGGTATCATCACCGGCCGTGTTTGAAATTTGCAACTGTCTCTATGCAAGAAATATTGCGCGCTGTGAGAAGCATCAACCAGGGGCAAACTTTAACTGCATTCTCCCGCCCACCGATGGTACCCATACGGCTTATGTGTATCCTATGACACTCCAGGTGAGTGCTTGAGTCCATTTGTTTATCCAGTGTTTCGGTAAGATGAGATAAGGGGTACAAGCAGAAATACATAATCCGCTTAGAGCCAGAATTGCATGCAATTCATTTAGCTGCCGAAAGAGAGCTCAGACACCATTGGTTAGCTTATGCCCTTGAAACACACACCTGACCAATATATTCCAATATTTCATAAGCGTGTCGCATTGTCGCCCACCGCATGGAAGTCATGTGAAATTCATGGTATGAAAATATGGCAAGGGTGTCACTCATCTATCGTGGGTGAGGCTAAGTAGCGGTGTTCCTCGCGGGCTAAGGGATGACACGTTGAGGGATGACCTTCACCGGGCCACAGTCAATATATCTCTCATCCTGCTGCGGTTGGTACGCCTCCATCCGAAATTGCATCCTCTCCCAACCAAAAACCTCATCGACTCGCTCCCGTGGGGATATCATTGCTCTACTCCTACCGTGGTGAACCACTCTCTGTCCCAGCTGGAGAACCCCAACCAATAGTGTCAGCCAGGATTATCTTTCACTGCGTGCCACGAGCGGATAGCTTGATATGACTCAGTCCATAAACAAATATAATATACTTGCGGCTGCTCACTCCTATATTTGCTAAGCCAACACTATGCTCATCCGAAGCTGCCAATTACCCAAAAGACCGGGTCTGCGTGGCAACCGCTGGAATTAAAAACTGGTAACTGAAGGTCTTGAACCAATAGGTACTCAAACCCGCTCCATCTTTACCAGCAACATTTGTGTGCATTGGGTTGTCTGCTGGGCGGAGTATGATGTCCTGTTCTAGGCCGGTGGAAAAATAATCTGTTGAACTCAAAGAGAGACCAGCTTTTTGCTCATCTGGTGAGCAAGGGGCCTTAGAGAAAGCTTGAAATGAACCCGGCATATGTTGACCAGGCGTCTTAAATACCCATTTTTCGAGCTTTACGGACATCATCCGCCATACTGGTTTCTATGCCGTTAATTGAATGGCATGGATTATCCCTTGAACTGGGAAATGTTTGCGTCCATGGTAACTTAACTGTCATGTTTTTATGTCAGTTCCAGCTGTCTTAAGACCACAAGAGAGCGTGGCATTCCCAGTCGGAGTCCGCGCTTCGCAAGCTCCCAGAGCTCGTCTTCCCGCGCGCCGCATGGCCGCCGGTGGGTTAC